GTGAAAACCGCAACAGGCAATAAAATGTTGGGAAATATAAGTAAATTCATATTAAATATTATCCTTGCCGCACCGACATGCTTTGTTGAGCGCGTTTTTCCGTAAGGAATTCAACAAAAACTAAGATTCGAAATAGGATGAGGTTGGAAAGCCTTAATTCAATAGTTCGAATAAAATGTTATATGAAGGCTAATAGTTTCTGCTGCAAAACGTTTCCAATATCAAACAGTATGTTATCATGGTTGAATAGCTCAATATATGAGAACAACAAATTGTGGAAATAGCTGATCTACCTNTTGATAAACATATTTTATGTTGCTGGCTTATCCGCTGCTGCTCCGAACAATAGGTTTTTATTTTATTTTTAATATTTTTATTTTTATATTTATAACAAGATCTCATTTTTAAAATAAAAGATTTGTTAAATCGATTTCATGAATTTTATTTTAAAAAATTGCCGATTTTTGGCGATTTTTTTTCCAGAAATTGCGCATTTTTTAAACAATCTGGACACCCTGGTAGGAACGAGTCTGTTCGATCACCCTCGCTATAAATTGAACACCACACTCGGATAGGGATGACAAAGTCGACTTCGACTTTCGACCAAAATCGACTTTTTACTCCTGAAAGTCGAATTTTAGTGATCGACTTTCAGTTTATGGAAGTCGACTGAAGTCGACTTTTCACTTTCGACTCTCGACTTTTTTTAATTTATTTGCATATAAAAACTGATCTTCTAACAAGGGCACGGAGTGTTGTTTGGTCGTATTTAAAAAAAATTGCCAATAAAACTGAAGAGAAATTTGAAAAGTGTGGTAGAGAAATGAATTTTAATGACAGTACAACAACATTGTCAAATAAAATTACTATAAAACAAATTCCTCAAATTTGTTAATCGTTTGTCTCCACAGTCTTCAGTTAATAATGAGGTAAGATAAACATAGGTATTTATTTTAAAAATTCCATGCAAGAAAGTTTTTCAGCATGAGTTTATGTAAGTTTCTACAGACAGTTTTTGGTTCGAATTTGACAATCCGTAAGGTACAACACCGCTAAAAACGTTGCTGGTAGGATTCCAGTTAATATGCGACATTAGTCGTGTGGATAGTCCCAATCCACTAGCTTACTGGGCTACTCCCATGTTTATCCATGCTTATAAAGTGGCACTTATATTTCTACCAATACCCACCAATTCTGCTCCATCGGAAAGGCCACATTTTTCAAAAAGTTGTCCTTAATTACCAAATATCGATTCAAAAAATTTTTAGAATTTTTTTTTTTGTGAAAATTTAAAAATTTTTAAATTATTTTTCAAAAATATAATTTTTAAAAACCCTCACAACCAACATTTTCATGCTGTATAACTGGAACAATTTTCAAAATTTTTGAAAATCCTTTAGTGTCTGTTTTTTTTACCTAGCATTGAATTTCACTAAATTACAGATTATTCTAAAGACCACTAGTAAATCATGATATTTTTGGCGTATTCTGACTCTTATATTTATAGCTAATATATGAGGTAAATGCGGAGTATACTTAATACATTTTATTTTTATTAAAAAAAATCGAAAAAAGTCGAAGAAAGTCCACTTTTCTTCGTGGATCGGTCGACTGTACAGAGTCGATCGAAAAGTCGAAAGTCGACTTTCTAGTGAAGTCGAACAACCGTACACTCGGACACCCGCAGCTAACCCGAAAATTTGTGTAACAATAGCTTCATTCCTTATCTTTTTGGTCTAAAATCTGAAAAGTGTCAAAATGCCAGAGCGTAAGCAAAATNGACTTTTTCTGGGAGATAAGGAACGCTCCTATGGAAACGGACACGCGAACATTGCGATAAAATGCAGGACAACAATGAAATTTACGCTGAAGGTAACTGGCGCCAATATGTTCCAACAAAGCATACGAAAATGTTGTTGCTTTGTGCTTGTGCATACGCAATGAAAAAAATTAGAAGCGAAGTAGACAAAAATGTTTGTGCATCTATTTCGTATAGTTTCGCGTGGAAAGCTGTGTGTGTATATATTAGAACACACAGCCTAAAACTATGTAGGTACATAAGTACTTTTACATAAAATAAATATGCACCGAGTGCATAGGGCCTGGGCATTGACGATCTACACACATTTAATACCTACATGGATGTAGGCGTCGTGATATTGTCACAAACAGAATGTTCATTTTCGGTCATTATTTCTATTAATAATTATGTACGTAAGCAAGTAAACAAGAAACTTAGTAATACACAAAAAAAATGAGACTACTGCGTTGCCGATCACAAACTACACTAATGCCGATTTTGTTTCTACCGAAAAATGCAACCTTCTCTTTGCCCTCTACGCATAAACACTAAAGGCCGGTTGCTCAAAGCCTGATTGACACTAATCACCGATTAACATCGTTATCGACGTTTTCGGCTCCATGCAAATAACATGGTGTCGGTAACGTTGATAACGATCTTGCCATTCTTTGGTTTATTTTTTAGTATGATCTGCAGGTTTTGCAGTTTATTTGATTTTTTCGCGTTTTTAGGTACAATTTCAGAGTCAAAACGCACCCTGTTTTTGGTTTGGCACAGTGAACCAGTTTCAACAAAAAATTTTCTGGCATGCAAATCATGCATTTTCTAATATTATTGATCTCTCAAAACATACAAATGCAAAAATATACAAAAAATATTACACCTCAAATTTGTTATTTTTTCGAAGTTATTAACAAGGCGGTGGTGGGTTTTCGTTAACAAGAGAATCCCAAAGAGAGGTCGTGTCAGCTGACACGGTTATGGAAGAAAATGAGCACCACATAAAAAAAAAAATCAAAAATCAACGCGAATACCTAGCTCAATACGATACTAAAATTGAATGGGATATACAAGTGTAAACCCGGGTTTTTTCTAGTAATTCGGATTGAAAAGTTTGAAATTTTGCAACTTACTGGCCTACTTAGTTGGTTGTAGTATAAACAAATTTTTTGTAAAAAGTAAATTATAAATATATAAAGAAAAAATAAATGGTCAAAAGTCATAAAAAAATAGTGTTTCAAATTATACATACATTTACGTATATGTATATGTATTAATAAAAAAAACGTGTTTTTTATTTATTATCTCTTTTCAACCAAAAAAATTCAGATGTTGAATGTTACATATACAGGGTAGAACTAGTTCTATATAACAAAACTCTTAAACTCCACTTTCGTCGAAAAGATTGATTAATTAATTAAGATTATATTTTTTCCCGTGATATTGTATGTCGTTTCGTTGGCGGACATTTTCTTCACAGTCGTAAAAGTATCTTCAAAAAGATCTATTAAAATTAATTCAAATTAAGTAAAATTCAAACCTTTTAATACCACTCCTCTTGGAAGTGCTACAAAAGAAAACGGGTTTGAGTAATAAGAATTATTTAAAAATATGAAAAAAATACAAATCTTACGTTTCTGCGGCTTTCAAACCGACGCATACTTTTTTAAATTGGGGTTGTCAACCAATAATAGCGAAACCATAAGCCGCTAGAGAAAGCAAGAATTTCTAAAAATTAATTTTTCAACACAATGATCATGTTCAAAAAGCGCAACAGCTCAGTAACTTTTGTGATTGCACCTTCTGCACGCGTTGTTTTGTACTTCTGATCAACTGAACAGTTGCGTGCATGGTAGAAAAAAGAAGGTAGCTTCACTTAATGACATTAGCAGACATGTTAGCCATTTGACTTTTGCTGAGATTATGACATTTTCATTAAAATCAATCTACTGGATTGAAAATTATAAAATTTTTTCTGAAAAGAATTTGGCCGACAAAGCAAAAAATAAAATTATTTTTTTTAATATTGTTTATTTATATTTGGCCGTTAATTGAAAATTCTGTTGATATTTTTTGAATATATTTTGAAATATAGACGATTTAAAAACAACAAAAACAGATTGTTTTATTTCAACCCGGCCTTGAGCTCAAAAAAAAAAATATCAACAGTATTTTTTTAATAATAAAAACAAAAATGAGTTGCACATTTGGAAGCTGCAAAAATACAAAATACTACTGCAAGGAAGAAGGTACACATATTTAAAATCAAATGTGACTCTAGGGAAAAGGACTGTAAAACGTTTTTTTTCCAATTCGATATTTAAATCTAACGTTAAAAGCATACAAAGTTAAATAAAAATATAAAAAGATGAGGAAAATTCATGGTTTATTGAATTTATTAAATAAAAACTTTTAATGTTAACGCAACATAAATACAAGTAGATTACTTTTTAGGTTTGGGGTAGGGTCGAGAAATACCGTACACGTAAGCACATATGCCATTATCCGTTGCATTTCGAGATAAAATTGCATTCTTTGTATGTACATATTTTCAATGCATATATATATCATGTACTAGACTTGTTTGGTTTCCAGGCAGGTTCTGCAATTCTCTTCCGAGTGAATTCCAATAAAATGCGCTTTGAATTCAAATTGGCAGGGGTTAAAATTCACTCGGAAGTGATTTGCAGAACCTGCCTGGTCATCTAAGAATACTAAAATATTTACACCCATTTCTGTGAAAGAAATTCCCATCTCGAAATTCCCCAACTTTTGTAAATATTAACAATATGGTAACGCTGCTACATGAACAAATTATGAAGCTTCAAAAATCTCAGTATCCGTCAAAAAGTTATTTATTGAAACTAGCTTCTCTTTTTATCATGGTTGCGTGTTAGGTGTCCATAATATTTTTCTGATCATTTGAGACAACAGTTGGTGTTGTTGAATTACAGCTAATGTATCAAGCCGTTCAGATCACTGATTTTTTTAGCAACGTTTGCGCTCAATTGCTGCACCATTCTGAACCTATCCAATGTCTGACGCTGTCTTGAGACGTATGTTCATACAAATATGTATGTACATATCTACTAAACATAACAAAAAAAAATTTAAAAAATTTGTTGGTGAATTCTGGTCGCTTAAAATCGAAGTGATTTTGTCAAAGAGGAAGTGGAGAACTTTTCGCCATAAAAATGAAATGAAAAACTTCGATCATAGTGAAAACGGCAACATGATAGTGAGTATTCAAGGTGAACATCGACTAGTATTAGTGCGCGTTAGCGGAAGCAGCCATGATACAAAACTTTTAAGGTAAAATAGCTGAGAGGCAGCCTGAACATTTTTGAAGTTTGCTAACATAACAAAAATACTTTCAAATTTTCAATCTCACAAATATATTCTCACTCCCAGTCACAAATAAAAGAAAATTTGAACATTTTCACCTATTTGTTTTTTGTTTTACTTTTATTTGGCATTTGAGTTGCTCACAAAATTTCAGTTTAATAAAGTAGACAAATTTCAAAAAATAAATGATCGTCGACCAATTGGGTGAGCAGTTTTACCTTTAAATATTTGTTCAAGACCAGGGCTTACTCCTGTAAGAACAACAATGGCGACCTGGCTACCGATGTTCAGAACGTACTTAAATTATGGAGGAAACACTTTTCCACCCTACTGAATGATAGCAGCACGGAAAGTTGTGGAGAAGAAGAACCCGAGCCTCCAGTCGACGTTCCACCGCCTGACTATGACGAGGTACGAATAGCAATAACGCGGCTGAAAAACAACAAGCTGCTGGAGCTGACAGCCTGCAAGCTGAGCTATTCAAGTACGGTGGCGAGGAGTTGATAAGATGCATGTATCAACTCTTATGCATAATATGGTCAGATGAATGCATGCCCGACGACTGGAATTTAAGTGTGCTCTGCCCAACTTCCAAACATAGGTTACAAGGTCTTATCGAGCGTATTGTGTGAAAGACTGCAGCCCACCGTCAATGAACTGATTGGACCTTATCAGTGTGGCTTTAGACCTGGCAAATCCACCATAGACCAGGTATTCACAATACGCCAAATCTTGGAAAAGACCCGCGAGAAAAGGATCGACACTCACCACCTATTTGTCGACTTTAAAGCCGCTTTTGGCAGCACTAAAAGAGTTGCCTATACGCCGCTATGTCTGAATTTGGCATCCCTTCAAAACTCATACGGCTATGTAAAATGACGTTGAGCCATACCACCAGCTCCGTCAGAATTGGGAAAGACCTCTCCGAGCCGTTCGCCACCAACTGGGGGTTTCAGACAGGGCGGCTCCCTTTCATGTG